CTAGAAAGTAAATTATAAAAGTTTGACAGCTATGCATTTTATTTAAAAAATTTAAAGGAATGTTCAAGACAAACAGACTGAAGGAGGAAAAGACGAAAAGTAAAGTATTGCAAAGAAACGGGAGATACAAAGGAGCACCACAGAGAATGACTGTGATGGCCTGGAAGAAGAAGATGGGAAGGTCAATTTTCTCTGTCTGCTCAGGTCCAAGTGCCAACTTTGTCTTGAAACCCTTGGTTTTGCCGGTTCCTGGCATAACTATTCAGCCAGCACACATCTCCCCCTCGCTCCCCGCCCCCCCTCCCCCACCCAGCAATACCCTCCCCACAGCATCCAACCTTCCACAAGCCCAAGTGGTCTCAGCCAACCCACAGTTGCCTTTCCAGAAATTTCTCAATGTCAAATCTCCCTCTGGCACTGTCAGCTTAGTATGTACTCTGGTCTTTTGTGACAAGGGTGGAAATATTAACCATGGGTCATTTCCTCATTGACTGGTCACACTTAGTATTTCCTTTCCCTTGAGGATTACACTGAAAAGCACTCCAGACTTAGGGATCTTCTGACACTTTCGTTCTAATGACTGAAGAATACTCTCTAGATCTGACCTCTTAGACCTAATAACCTGAGATTTGAGTGTGAGCAAAGAGAATAAAGGACTCATAACCACTGGGCAGAATTACATTTAAACCATCTCAATTAAGTGGGGATCTCCCACTGTCGGACCCCTTCCATTTCTTTTTCTAGTGCTCTGTCTCTCCTTAGAGACAATTCAGCTGCCTCTTTTCAGTCCATACCTGGCTTTAAATAACACTCACACTCAGGAAGTTCTTCACATTTGACCCAAACCCCTTCTGCTACAGTTAAAACCTTTTTCCTCAGTGGAGATTTGGAACAGCTGGTTTCCATTCTCTTAACGGCAACTCTTCTTAAAGATTCATAGGCTTCTAAAGGATGTCCATACCAACCTCAACTAAGGCATATAGCTTGCTTTCCTTAAGTATCTTCCAAGAATATTTCCCTATATAGTTATCAATAGCCAATTGTTTACTCTGTGGAGAGCTGACTCATTGAGCAAATCTCTAGGGCAGAAGAAAGACACAGTTTCTAACCAGTTACTCCAGGGGCTACCTGAATTATGAAATACCTGTACTTTTGCAGATACTATTGGTTTGAAGTTTGGGACAGAACAAAGACTAAAATTAGAGCTGAGTGCTTATGATCTGAGAAGAGAAGCCTATGGGAATGACCATTCTTTGACCAACTACAGGTAAGTCATTTTTAGAACTTTGACAAATAGCACCTAATGTTGGTCTCTCACTGAAATTTTCAGCTCTGTCTTCCTGCCATCATATATCTCAAACTGTTTCTTCTCCAAAGCATTAAAAAAATTTTTTTAAAAAGCCAAACCTGGACAATATAAAAAATCTTCAGCTGACTTTTAGGAGCAAACAACATATGTTCTTGAACATCTGTATTTTCCTCAAGCTATTTTTTTCCATTATTGCCAAGAGAAAAGAAGTCTAGTGGAATGTTTCTCCACAGAGGCACACGTCTGTAATACTCCCTGTTGATTACATATAAAAGACACAAAATATTAGTTTATTAAAAGCAGCCTCAACCATTGCTGTACAAAGCAATTCTCTGATGGAACAGATTTATGAAGTAACAGCTGAAAGGTATGCAGATCACAAGATACATGACAAATGTACTTTATTACACGGATCAGAAATACCATATGTACTAGCAGTTACTGTACAGTGATACACAACACCCAACTAAGTCTATTTAAAGGTTTTGCTGATATTGAAAACTATAAAGACACAATGTGAGAGTGAGAAAGTGTTTCATAAGATAGACAAGTCATCACTTTAGGAAATTAAATACATTCTGCATATTATAAACTTAATGTATTATAAAACTGTGCCACTCTTTAAATTAAAATGTGAAGGACTGTACCCCATTCATTGCTTAAAGCAGATGTTTATAACGTTTTTCCGTACTTTAAAGTGGAACTCAGTGGAATGAATGCCAGACTTAACAACATTAACAAATTTAAGGAGATTGCAGATTTTGTTATTTATAACAAAAAAGATACTTAAGTCTGCAATCATATAATGTCAAAGGACTGTCAAGAGCAAAATAAGCATAATACATTTCACATAAGTGCAATACACAAACTTTCTGCAAGACCTTTCTTGACTATAAAGGACTTCAGCAGCCCTTGGACCCAAATTTCAAGTACAGTGTTTGAATCCATCCTACATTGTCCAGCCTTAGCCTGACACTGTAGTATATGCCCAAAGCTGACTGTGCCAGCTTCCATCTTGGCTAAATGGTAATTCCTTACGCTGAATCAGTCTGTCTCAGACACAGGGCCATTAATCCTATACTCTGGACTAGTTTTGCTGATGATTCAACAGTTGCATGAATTTGTATTTACTGCTGCAAGGCTGTTTCTGCATCTGAAAATATGAATAATGAGAGTATCAATCACACATTGTTTTAAGGATTAGGTGAAGTAATACAGGCAAAGCATTTAACACAGCAAGCATGCACTGTAGGATGTTATTAGTACTATTATTCTATTCATATGAATCTTATTTGACATCACAAATAAACCCTGTGGCTCAAAAATAGATGCATAAGACCTGAAGCATATGACTGTATAACCTGGGTGTTTTACCAGATATCACCAGCTTGGCCTTGTCGCTCCTGGGGTCAACAAGGCTCTGGGAATAGCAGTGGTCTTTGACCTGGCATGACTACTTAATAGCTCCCTAATCCCCAACACTCCTGTACAGTCAGTCTTTGGTGCAATGGAATTCTTTATATGCTGGCAAATACAGGGGCAAATATATTTTATGCCTAACATGAATTTGAATCTCTCTACTAGGTGGCATTAGAAGTTAGTCACTTAGCTTAGACACCAGCCCAAAATCTGCATCTCAATTGTATTTAATAGTATTTATAAATTAAGGGATTCCTACAGTCTCTTTAGACTCCTGTTTATTTCACTTCATCATTTGCATCTACCTAGTTTAAACTAGACACCACAATCCTTCACCATCACCACCAATCCAGTTCAGATACATAGGTCATTTGTAGTCAGTTCTTCAAGAAGTTATAATCCATATACATAGATCCAAAATTTAAAACATCCCATTTCCTAATGAGCAAATACATTCTGCAGCCTATTTATTCTAGGCAACATATGAACTAATGGGGAGCAGGAGGTGAAAACACATCAGTGTGGCATTAGAAATAAAGAGATGTGGTCAAAACAAGGACTTCAGCTACAGTTCATGTTTCTTTTGACCAGTGGCTTATGCCCCACTGACGGGGTGGGAGGTGGGG